AAAGCTTTACAGAAGAAGCCATTGTTTCCTTATAATATGCTAATTATAATGAGATCCTTTTACCAACTACTATGTGTACAAGGTGTTGGAAGCAAATGCAGTAACCAAAGTGCAAGTATGATGGGGTGGGTGGGTGGGATTTAAACTTTGTACATGGAGCTCGAAGGTAAATCCTTCAAAAGCTTTGAGCAAATAATGCCAAAAAATTGCGCGTGATGCATAACTTATGCTCCGACTTGCTTTGCGATTGGCTATTGGTTTTAGTTGGGATACGTAAAAGCTTTTCATTGGCTAAAAGCGTTTCTTTCATTAATATTCACGTGAACACAGTGCTGCTTCAAGAAAATAACCTTTGACCCACCAACAATACACGGAATGTCGACTTGCACCTTTGTCATGCATGTGTCAATGAGGATAAGCTTGCAAAACCCTTGCTTTCAACATGTTGTCTCATTAACTGAATTTAAACATTTTAAATTGGCGATAAAACATTGACAATATTTAAAACATTTCCAAAATACTAAATTTGTAATAATCAGTGATAAATGATAATCAGTAATAATAAAACTGGAAGTTTGCAAACTGAACTCCCAATGCCATACGATTCCTAAATGGGCAACAAGCATCTCGACATTGTTCGAAAATTGGAAGAATTTTAATCTTGAATGTGGAAAAGTGTGATTTCAGCCGACCACTTTAAATAGGATCGTAATTGGTTATTTTTATCGCAATGATTCCATGAAGGTGTCATTTGACAGCTAAAACGCTGATCTTTATTCATAATTGATCTTCATAATCATTGTAAATGTAATAATTAACACCAAAAATAGAGCCATTTTTCTGCAGTCTAATGGCAAATTATCTATTTTATTCAAGTTTCATGTACAGATCCCAAACCATTAGGAATGAGAAGTGGTAAAATACCTGATGATGCAGTAACGGCGTCGTCTACTATTTCCAGCGGTTACAAACCTAGCTATGCAAGACTGACAAGGGTAGGTTCTAGCTGCTCTTGGGCACCTCCTGCAGCAGGGAGAATCGGCTCGTGGCTTCAGGTTGATCTGGGAAAAGTCACCACAGTGACAGGAATAGCAACCCAGGGCTCATGTGATAGCAAAGAATGGGTAAAGTCGTACTCAGTTTCCTACAGCAATGAACACAATTCATGGACACCTTACGAAGAATCAGGGAATGTAAAGGTAAGTCAGCGCATCAATCTTGTATGGTGAAATTTTACAAAACACGGATTCAGAAACTATTTTAAAGGCCCGTTTACACTTGAATATTTTGCTGCGATTTCTTGTACGATTTTCGTCTGATGCATGTCAACGAGTAGATGAGTTACGAATGTTCTTAATATGTGTACCCTCATCCGAATATTCACATAATTTATCCACTCATTCACATGCGTCAACAGAAGGAAATCGTACTAGGAATCGCGGCAAAAATTGGAAGTGTACCGAACTTACGTAAATGTACAAAAAATTGTCCGCTTAGGCCTAGCTGTTCTAGGAAGTTCACCAGAGTGGGATGAATTCAATTGAAAGCTCATCTGACTTTTTTTAATTTAGGTTTTTCAAGCAAACACCGATGCAAGTTCCATCGTTACACACTCATTCAAATCTCCTATTCGCGCTCGGTACATTCGTGTGTTGCCACAATCTTGGAACAGTTATCCTACAATGAGGCTCGAGCTTTACGGTTGTCGCTACTAGTTTGCATGTCATTAATACATGCGTGCTTGCATGCATAGTTATGCCACAAAGTAATAATTGCTATATATGTAATGCATGGTTAGCTTTTCTTTGTAATATGTTTTGTTATTGTAATGATATTAAATTTAAACTTGGCCAACTGGCATTCAAGTGTGTATTGAATGTGTCCATTGAAGACTTATCAGAGGGTGGTAAAGAGTATATTCGTGAATTGTCAATATTTGTTCTCGTGAATGACGGATGTCGTGAAACGTGATTTACACGCCTGCTGGCCCTGAGCCGTGATTGAAGACTGTATAATGAGTATAGTAAGACATGCGAACGGGAACTGAGAATTGCAATGCCTTGGATGCAATAATTTACTGCATGCATGTATTTTCTTGATTTTTACTACATGTATATTGGTTGTTTTTTAAAAAATCTTTCAATATCAAGCTTTCGGTGGTGAAATTAGTTTCGAAAACGTAGAAATAGGATTAAGAACGGTATGAATTTAAATACTCAAGATAGGAAATAAAATTTACACAGTTAAATACGTGTTTTTTTAATTTTTGTGAAATTACTAATTTTTTACATGTGAAACGTGAAGGAAAACAGCCATTTCACCCCATTTACCACGGCCCAATAGTACAATTCCCGGTAGTTTCACAGCTACTGAGTACTGCCATGCTAAGCCTGCTCTATGCAGCTTTGGCCAATTTTAACTTTTTTTACAATTTTTGAAATTGTACATCAGTATTTGTTATGAAACACTGTTTTTTCTGGGACAGACGCATTTTTTCCGTTCGATGCAGAAAATTTGATTTATGCATTGTCTTAAGTCATTAGTGTGGCACAGTGAACACACAGGTAAATTGAACATGTTTTGTCGTCAACTGACTTCCATAAACAAAGTGATCAGTGTTTGGAAGTCTTTTTTTAGAAAATATTAGAGATCGAGTTTAATTAAGCAAGCGACTTTTTCGATTCACGAACGCCGACTGGAAGTAAATTAAGTCGTTAAAGATGTAGCCAGATAAAGACCCAGAGTTATCACTGGAGCAAGATACGATAGGATTAAATCAAGTGATCTTTTGGAAGATTTAGGATGGGATAGTCTACATGTTAGGTGGGCTAAGTTGAAGAGTATCCTAATGTATAAAGTGCTTAATGAAAACTATTCGCCATGTTTAAGAGAAAGCCTCGTAAGACTTAGAGAACTTAATAGAGGCCATAATTTACGAAATCAGGAAACGGATCTAGCACTTCCAAAACCAAAAACTAATTTTTTGAAGCGAAGCTTTAAATATAGAGTGCATCAATGCTGTGTCAGTTTAAACATAGTATTGCGGAACTGTTCTTTTAGAACCATGTTGACAATTCTCTTTACTTGACTTTATTTTTCTTTGTTCTTGGTATGGGAGGTTGGGGGTATATGTAATATTCTATAAATTCTACTGTTTATATATCACGCCCCTCCTGTTCAATTCATATTGAATTAGCTGTATACACGCATGCTCATCTTAAGGCCCATTTACACGATACGACTATTCGACTACGATTGTCAATCTGGCGTATGAAAACGATTGCTGACACCCAATCTCGTTCCCCGAGCATGCCCGTTCGCAGGTTAAGGGTGGGCATAGCTCTGGAAAAATCGAATTGACTCATGCCTGTGATTGTGTGATTGGCTAGCGGCAGATAGTACGTTGGATTTCGCCTGGCAATTGTTGCAAAATATAAACAAAGTATTTAGAATATCTCGTCGAAAATTTGATACTTTTTACCAGGGACGCCGGAACTGGGGGGGGGCGGCTGCCCCTCTTGCCTTTTGCTAGGGGGGGGGCAGGGGGGGGGCGAGGTCGCCCAAAATTTTCCATTGAAAAAAAAAATTCCGGTAGATTTTGAAGTTTTGCTCTATAGAGGTGCCCTTGGTGTGCGTCCGC